CATATACACACACATATATGTATATATGTATATGCACATATATGCATGCACATATATACATATACATATACACAATGATGATAACAACTGATCAATTATGTGCAACTAAAGTAAAGTTAAATAATTATCTGAGAAATTAAGGCAACATAAATTTACATTGTGGTCCTTCAACTACCTGAACTAGATAATTATTTGATTCTTTTATTTTTGGCTGTTATGTTGTCCAAGTTAAATGAGTAGTTATGTAGGTTCTCCACTCTTCATAGACTATAGAATCACCTTCTCAGAGGCTATGTGTATTAATAAACCAAATGTTTATTAAGTACCTCCAATGTGTAAGCTACTGTGTTATGTCCAGGGAATACAAAGTTAAAAATATGACCCAAGTCTTTCCCTTGAGGAGTTTTCAATCTATTTTGTTTGTGTGTGTGTGTGTTTGTGTGTGTTTGTGTGTATGTGTGAAATGTAAAGGGAGATGTATGAAGATGTATAAATGAATAGTTGAGAGAATATAGTTGCTTTGCTTGTCTCTAAATGAAGTGTAGACATAGACTTTGCCTCTTACTGCATTTATTCCCTTCCCAACTGACTGGTAGTATTCTGTTGGGATTTGTTAATCATGATCATTGTCATAATTCAAAGAAGTATATGATACCCTATTCTAATCTTCAATCTTTAAAATATAACTGGAAATTTTGAGCTCCTAATAAACAAATGTAGAAGGGGCCTGCTTTCTTATTTCCATATCTATATGTAACTCATTTGTCTATAGCTAAGCAGGCAAATCTTTTGGGGAAAAAAATAAATCACAGAATAGATGGCCTTTCCTGGGGATATTTATACATGTGAATTATATTCTATTGGGTAATTGTTGTCATTCTCTAAAATGTGACTGCAACTACATCAATTTTTAAAATGATTGTGGTAAAAGCCAAACTTTTGCTTTGACCTGATATGACAGCTGGATATTTTCCAGAAGAAATGAAGCATCTCCTAGAAGGGACATTTTAATACATCATTTTGTCTGATCATTTTACTTATCACTCATAGAATTTAAATTTTAAAGATAAATTTCTAAGTTCTAAAGATTAGATTCTGCTGTCAAGTCAGTGACTGAAATGTTTATTCCTCTTTGAAATACTCTTCTTGCCTGAATTGATATGGCCCCAGATCAGTTTTTCTCAACTGCTGTCCTATGGACCAACATAGACCAGCAGCACCATCATTAATTTTTGATTAATCTGTAAAACTTTTACCACCATAAGACCTTCTTGAATCCTATGAACTTGAAAAAATTGAGTCATCCTTCACTTGTTCCCTGTTCCTTTTAAAGCATAGCTTTTCCCCTGCTCTGGATTTCTCTTTCTCCCCAGTTTGTAGCCTCTGTTTCCTGCCCTCTAATAACTCTGAGGTCATGGATGATGGCATGGGTCCATGGTAGGGAATTTTGCTGGCCTGAAGTATAGTTTGGATCAGGAAATCCTGATCTAGATGGTATTTTTGTGATATGTTTTTTTCTCTGGACATTTGTTCTTTATTTTTGTTGCAGGATATGGAGCATGTTTTTATTAAATATTTCAAGGACAAGGAATATCATGACTCACTTTTTGACTTACGGTTTGTAATCATCCTGAGGACAGGAGTAGTGTCCCTTTTATTTTACTTTTTAAAAATATAACCTTGTGTTTACTTACTTAAGATCTTTGTTAAAAGAGAATAAAGAAACTTGTGGACTGGAAGGAACCCCAGGGATCATATAGCTCAATATTCTCTTGCTATTTTATAGTGGGGAAACTGAGGTTTGAGGATAAGAAATGGTCTGAATAAAGTCATGCAAGGAATTAGTGGCAGAGCTGGGATTAAGCCCAGGCCTCCTGACTCTGAGTCTAGTGCTTTTCCCACTACATTAATTTTGGTCACAATCAGTATAATGTAGGGAATTTGAACAGATATGAAAAAGGATACTACCATATTTCATCCTTATAGTCATTTGAGCTACATTTGTTCCTTTTATTTTCTTTTTCTCAGAAGAGGTCACTCAAATGTACTGAGATGTTCTAGTTACTCACAAGCCAGAAGATGAACTACTAGATCATTCAGAACTATTTACACAATTAAAAATACTACCAAGAAATGAATATTTCACCAAAAGAATGAAATATACAAAATTTATTATTATTGTTGTTATTATTATTATTATTGTGGTGCTTGTAACACCCCTGCCACTCAGTATCTTAGTAAAACATCTAAAGCCACATTTGCATACTTCCTTAATACTAGAGTCAGTATTTTTTATTACTTCTACCTGTCAAAGTGCTGATTTTATCTCTGCTGCACAACAGCATCACTAGTGTGCTACTACGTTTCCTTATTGATTTGAGTACAGTGTTCTATGATGTTTTCTTGTCATTTACTTCACGATTAAAATGTATACAGGGAATGTTTATTTCCTTTGGTTTTATATTGCACTCTTACTATTATCAGGTATTTGTTTAATCCTATAAAATATTGATCAAAATACTTGTAAACTTGTTTCCTTAAATATCAGTTGAATAAAGTAAAAAAAAATCTATTCTTGCAGTTAAGTTTCGTTGTTATTGAGGGTTTTTGTTTGGGGTGATCTTCCAAATAGCTGTGACCTTATTGAGTGTTGGAGGGTATAGAGCTTAATATCACTTTCTCTACAAGCTTCAGTGATACCCCCCTTGCTAGGCAACAAACATTCTGAGGTGATTCCATTGAAACAAACTTACCCAACTTGAAGCTTCATCCTCACAAACTGGAAAAGCATTAACTTAGCTGTTTCACAGAGATTTCCTTCTCTGTGGAATTTATCTTTAGAATTTAAAGAACAGCTGAGAATGGAGAAAGGGGGGTTAAGAAAAGACAGGGAGAGTCACAAAAAGGGAGATTTCATATGTGGGATGAGAGAATTTCCATATATTCAGTCAGTTGCTTTGAGATTTTCTCTGTTCAGCTCCTGTGATGTTTCAATATGAGATAATTCCTTCCTACATCATTCCTACTGCTTGATCCTCACTGATCTGGATCCTTATTGATGGTGAATCCTCACTGATTTGGATAAAAATAGTCACTGTCCCTTGTAAATAAAAAAGTGAACTGAGAGTGGTTTTAGAGAGCTAAGAATAATTCAGTGCCATCTCACTCTGTGCCCTTGTGCTAGTTACTCAATCTCTTTGTGCCTCAGTTTCTTCAACTGTAAAATGGACTGTAATGTACTTTCCAACTATAAAATCTCATAATTCTATTAGCTTTATTTGATTTCATTACTATGCATCTCTCCTTTCTATTTGAAACTTGTGTTTTTTTTTTAGTGTAGATTCTAAAAGTTCCTTGGTTTTTTTCTTTGATATGTAGTTTTACTTTAAAATATGCAAGATTAACGTTATTTTAACTTTTTAAAAGATGGCTTCTCCTCTCAATTCTTTGTATCATTCCATCTGTTGTTTGTATTACTTTCAATAGATGGTGCTCTTTTCTTGGAGATGTTACTGCCATCTTACTCCTCTTTAGAAGATCAGAGAAATTAATTTTGTGTTTAGCCAATCACTGATTAAAGAAATGTGATATATAAGCACAGAAAGAACTATTCTAGGCAATTTTTTTTAACATTTTGGAGATGAAAGTGTTCTTTAATCACTTTTAGGTGATTAGAGATCCTCATTGAGGCAAATTATCATCTGTTGAAAGGTTAAAGCAAACATTAGAAGTAAATCTTAAATGTCATACTCAGTACATATCTATATATATGTATATAGATATATACACACACATATACATATATAATATGGTTAAAAACACCAAATCAGGAATTGGTATTCAAATGTTAATTTGAGAGAAATATTTAACATTAAATTTTTGTAAGTTGTAAAACATTTTCATCACTCCCCTCAGCCACAGCACCATCCAAGCACTGAATATATACAGACACACTGCTAAGATATGGTCTTTTCTCCCAGTACATCTGGAATTTCTCTATTTGAACAGGAAGTTGATCAGACATAAATTAGACCTCAAGATTAGGTCATTGAACAAATGCACTGAATTTTAAAAGTGTAGTTTGGAATTTTCTCTCTAGTAACACTCTCTGGCACTTGAAGCAGCAGAAGTTTGGCACTGATCTGTTATTTCCAAAAGGTTTCATTTCTTTCAGAAACTTAAAAACAAATAAAATTAAAAAATGAACCATACCGGTGAAACCTTCATAAGATTTCCTTATTCCGTGAGACTTTCATGCAGACTTTTCCAGTGCTAATGGAGCTGCTAGCTGGCTATTTCTCTGGCATCAATGATCCTCACAACAACATCCTAACATGCTTGTCCACAACAGAAATCAATGTTTGAAATAAAGCTCTCTAGGACGAACTTAAATACAAGGTGTCTTCCCATGGACTTAAAGGGTAAGGGGCTGTGGATCATGATGGAAGGTTGACAGTGGAATGGAACATGTCTGTGGGAAAGGTGACAATTTTGTCACCTCACAAGATCACACCTGGGAAATCTAAACCTCCCCTACTTTCTAGTTAAGGAAGAACAACTAGAATTCAACTACCATTATCTTCAAGTCACTCTTCTTTCAGCTCAGGACAAGGAAAGCTACTTCTCTACCTCTTCACCAGCAGCTCTCCCTCTGCTTCCATTGAACTCTAAGTGAGAAAGCACTGTCCTGGGTTATGCTTTTCAATTGCTGCTCGTCTTTTGCCAGCACACCTTTGACTTTCACAAAATTTTGGTTCTTACTTAATTCGGCAGAGAAACGGAAAAGTGAGCTTTCCCTTTTATCGTGCACCGCTTCCCTCCACTCCCCACCCCACCTTGCTTTCTCCTACTTCCCCAGTATATCTTCTCCCTTCCTACCGCCAAACCTCCAGGCTTCCTCCCTCCCCCAAGTTGACTAATGGGATTGAGTGTCTCAAGCGTGCTCTTTTTGCCTTCGCGGCCAGTGAACCCGTCGCTTGGGCCACTGGCTGCTTTCTTACCTGATAATCACGTACATAACCAGGAAGTTTCCAAAAAGCCCCACAACGCACACGATTGAATAAAGGGCCATGATGGTGATGGCGGTGACCATGGAAGGACTTCCAGTCGGTGGACACGGGCTGCCGCCCCCAACCCCCAGATCGGTGCGGTTGGGACCGCTGCACGGGTCGGACAGGTTGCCATCCAGGCGGGACAAGTTCATCCATGCACCGGATGGAGGTGTTGGGGAGCAACTGGAAGTGAGAGAGAAAGCGTCAGAACAGCCACTGGAATTGGCTGGAAAGGTACTGCTGTCCATGGTTCTGACGGCGGTCTAGGAGTCCAAGTTCGCGAGGTAAAAGCCGCAGTTTAGTCTCACCAGGCTGCTGCTGCTACCGCCGCCACCGTTCTTCTTGCTGCTCGCGAAGAAACCAAATTGCAGCAGAGAGAAGAGAGCAAAGCCAAAAAAAAAGGGGGAGCTCTAAACGTTTGACATTGTCTTCTACTAGTAGCCCCCTCTCATCCCGTGCACACACACTGAGGCGCAGCTCAGGAAGGGGTTTAGGAGGGGTATGAGGCTGGGTGAAGAGGAAGGAAAAGGAAGGAGGGTGGATTTTGCGCAAAGCTATTCAAGTAGTCTGTCTCCCCACTAGGCTCTCACATGTGCCTGCATAAGGTTACGTGTGTAAGTAAGGTGGGTGGGTAGAGCAGGGAGGGAGGGAGAGAAGGAAGGAGGGAGGGAACGAAGGAAGGAGGGAGGGAGAGGGAGAGGAAGAGGGAAATGGGGAGAGAGAGAGAGACAGAGAGAGAGACAGAGAGAGAGAGAGAGAGAAGGAGAAACATCAAGGAGAGGAGACTTTGATTCTCCCAGTCTGGCGTTTTTTCACTTTTTAATATGGCATGAAAGACATAAGACATTGCACCACAATCCCTAAATCACGACTCTACTCCTTCCTTTTGCTCTCTGTTGGGAGATGGTGACACTCAGCTCTTCTATCTTTATGCCTTATCTAATCTCATTGTTTCCTTCCATATCTACAAAAATGGAAAAAAGAACATACCCTTTAGTATAACTAACTTAGATCCCTTAATCTCTCAAGCCTAGTTGAAAAACAAAAGTCCTTCTTGGATAAACAAAGGAAAGATAAAGCAAGTTTAGCTGAGGTAATTGTTTCACTGGTCCCCTTTCTCAACTGTTCCCAATGAAATCGACTTAATCCCATCAACTACTTTTCTTCTCCAGTGTTAAGGGAGAGAAGCTGATGGATAGCAGTTTAGATCACATATAGTACAGAAGTCGCCCAGGAGGGGAGCAAATTCATAATTGATCAGAATAAGGTATCCTTCAAGTATTAGCTGCCAGGTAAAGACCTTCATTTGTCACTTTCTAACAACAAAGAGCATTACAGACTATCAGACACCAATTGGCTTGTTTTGTCTGACAGCATTTGCTTTCAATGAGACTTTTACTTTCTGCATTTAGGATGGTTGTCCAATGGAATTTAAGACTCTCTCCCCTTGAAAAGTTATAGGAATTACCAAAATAAAACAAACAAACCAACCAACAGCCAAAATAGAGCATAAAGTATAGACAAGTAGTTTTGAGCCCCTTACATTATGAATGGCATGTACGAATTATCTTAAAATTATCTGAAGATAGAAACTTCTATAGGCTAGAACTACTTTTTAGAGGACAAAGCTTCCATAGACCAAATATGAGACAAAATGGTGTAGTGCAAAGAACTCCAGCGGGGAAGTTAGGAGAGTTGCAGTCTAGTCCTGATCTGATCATTAACTAGCTCTGTAATCTTTGACACATTATGTCTATCTTAGCCTGTTTTCCCTTCTCTTATTCAGACCAGAACATCCCTGGTAGCCCTCCTAATTCTAAAACTCTTTTGTGTGTTGCTAAAAAGCACCACTCTGTAATGGTCTGAGGTAAAAATCTCATGGTGGGGAAGGGGGAAGATTAAGAATCATAAAACTTCAAGGAATCTCACAAGATTATCTGGTCTAGCCAACTGCCTTTAGGAAGAAAGTAATCATTGCTCCTATTTTGCAGATTGAATTATTTCTGGAATATCTTTTTTTTCCCTCTAAGTCAATAAATAATCATATTTACTTTGGGGAAAACATGTATAAATCAACTTGTGCCCATTTATTTTTAAATGAGAAGATTAATCCAGAAACCACTCAATTCTTCCTTTATGCAAGGGGAAAAAGAAATGAAAAAATCTGATATCAATAGATATTTAGCTGTATTTCAGGAGAAAAAAAATTGCCTAGAAGTTGGTAAACTCAATTTTTAAAATTACATGCTTTGGAAACAGGAAGCTGTTTGTTAGGTTAGTTCTACCATTCACACATGATTTGTTTATATTAACATATCCAAGTCTCATCTTATTTTATACTATGCAATTAAACAATATGAAATAAGAACCTTAAAAGCTATTGAAAATCCATGCTTTATAATGACTCAGATTGAAAGAAATGAATGTTAATGGGAATGTTTTAATTTTATTAGTTTTTTGCACTGTCATAAAAACTCTTTGACCATTTAATCATAGAGGTTGTATGAGCCTGGGATATTCACTTCCTCTATGATCCAGGAATGACCATTTGACCTCTCATCTAAAATTACTATCATAAAGCAAACTAGCTATCATTGGTCTTTCAAAACAATATTTATTTATATAAATGTCTATTAGTCTATATAAATGTATTTATGTCTATGTAAATATCTAAAGAGTACTTAGAATAGGGATATGAGCTTTGTATGGCAAGAGTATGCTAGTAATTAAGGTTCCTATTATTAACACTTATTTGGCCTTTTTTCTTTATCCTTCTATGTATCTCCAATGTAGAGCTTCTTGTAGTTAATTATTGAGAATTTCTGTTAATAGTGCATGGAGCTTTCTAAGGAAGAGGTACATTATAAACTGAATATAAATGAATACAGCTTACATGTATTTAATGCTTTAAGATTGCAAAGTGTTTCCATAAATATGTGCACCTCACAATAATTCTAGGAATTATCAAGCCTCTCTCCTAACTGTTCCATCATAGTGTCCTTTCCTTCCACTTCATGTCTTCCCCTGTTGTTTCTCTTCTCTTCTCTTTGTCTTCCTCCCTTCCCCACCTTCCCCTCTCCTGTCCTCTCTTTTTCTTTCCTTTCCTTTTCCTTTGGCTACTTATAATTTATGTCAGATCTTTTCAATAGCAAACTAGTGCTTTAAGAAGAATTAAACCAGTGAGCATGGTTCTAGGATTGATATAAAAACTGGTTCCATCCTATACAATAATTCATTAAGATTTGTTTCAAGACAGTACATTTGGTCATAGTTTTCAGGAAATCATTGAAAAAAACTAATTTGAAATATTCAGATTTTTTTTGATTGCTACTGGTCTGAATATAAGTAGATTGTACTTCTTTCTCCTCCCACAGACCAAGTTATGTGTGGCTTGTGAGGCTACTTTTTGGTACACTCAAATATTCAAATAGATCTGGGATATCATTGATTTGTGTGTTCTGTCCAATGATGCAGATCAAAATTGATTCATTTCTGACTATCTTGTGTGATCATCATCAATATCCTATGGGTAGTGTATCATAAGTCATTTACCCAACATTACAGAGATCTTCTGTGCTTTTTTCCAGTGTCTTTAGAGAATCAGTGGACAACTCTTAACATTGCCTGTCATCCCTTGCACTTGCCATGTGACTATGCCATCTTTTCTTTCTTTTATTTAATTCCAAGATAACATCTTTTATTTTTGTTCTTAAGAATTTCTTATTGGGTATATGTTATAGCATGCCCACACCCACCATGCATCTTTCCATGGATCTTTGTATTATGCTTATCTTTAGTTTCTTGGAGGCAGTGGTATTCTATTACTTTCCTTCCTCTGCTTCTAACTCTCTGGACTTTGCCACTATTCCTTAGCTGCCTTCACACTCTGGAACTATACTCAGTGCCTTGGATTTTGATGCCTTAGAACATTCCTCCACTCCTCTTGCCCCTTTCTCCCATTGTTGCTTTCCTACTCTGGGGCCTTCATTTTGGAGAGGTGCCCACCCAGACTAGTTATCCTTCATACCCTCCCATCTCTGCTTCTGAGCCTCTGGACTTCACCACCATCCTTCCCTACTCCTTAGTTCCCTTTTGTATGTTGTTTTTCCCCATTAAAATGTGAACTCTCTGAAGGGAAGGACTGTCTTCCTTTTTTTTCTTCTATTGGTATTTCCAGTGTTTAAAGGGATAATGCCTGACACATAGTAAGCACTTAATAAACATTGATTGCCTTCCTGTCTCACTGTTTCAGGTCTCATTGTCATGGCAGCATCAATAAAACATTCATAAAAAAAGATGGGCCTTCCCATCTCAGGGTCAGAGGGGCAGCTCGGTGGCACAGTGGATAGAGCACCAGCCCTGAAGTCAGGAGGACCTGAGTTCAAATCCGGCCTCAGACCAAACGCTTGACATTTACTAGCTTTGTGACCCTAGGCAAGTCACTGAACCTCAATTGCTTAAAAAAAAAAAGAAAGCTCAGGGTCAGTAAAAGTGCTTTGTAGCTTTTGAAAAGCAATCCAGGCTACTCTGCTCCTTTCCAACTCTGGGACCAGTGCATTGTTTATTTATAGTGATTCTTCCACATATACATACTATTGGATAACCTTTATGGGATTTCCATTCAGATGCATGTTGTAATCTAAGCAGTAGACATTCTTCATCCATTTGGTCTTCCATATGCAGATGAACAGGCCAAATTTATTTGATTACAAATCTCTTCCAGGAAATTTTGCAGTGTCTTAGGGCTTGGTGTAAATAACACATTGTCTTCTTCAAAGAAGAGAAACCAGAGGACTTCATAATCCAGATCTAGAAGGGAATCTTTTTTTTCAATGTTTGCTCTGTATCAAATTTTTTCCATCATAGTGTCAAATACTTTCAGAGAACTGATATTTCCCAGGATTATGCCATGACTGATGTTTATCATCAGAGTTATTGGGCAGGTTTGTTTCTGTTGTTACATCTTCCAAGGAATCTTGAATGATCTTGATCTGTGGAAGGAGTAATTTTCAGTAAATTTCTTTATTGTTTTTCCTTTAAAGATATTTCATTTTAGGGATACTTATTTTTTTGTGAATCATATATGCAAACTAATTTAGTAATTGTATAAAATGTGAATTATCATTATCATCATAATGATCATTTTTATTATTACTCTCACATGGAAGATTGTGTGACACTGTGGAAAGAACACCAGCTCTAGTGTCAGAGGAGATGATTAAAATTCTACACATGATATCTACTATTT